CGCTGCTGCTGCCGCCGCCGCCGTCGCCGCCGCTGCCGTCGCCTCCACCTCTTTCTGCCCCAGAGGCCGCTTCGCAGGGAAAGTTACATAACGCGCGGGCAAAGCCTTCTGGGAAATGTAGTCCCGCCGGGGCCTGTTCTTAAAGGGGACGGCGGGCAGCAGGGGAGGTGGGGGCTCGCCGCCGGCACGGTGTGCGAAAGATCGGAGCTACCGCCGACTCACAAACGCACGGGAATTGGGCAGGCTCTCGGTGGCACGGTTTCCGCTCCGATTGGTGGTGCAGCTTTTAGGCCACAGCCAGGCCCTCTCTGAGCCTCAGTTTCCCCGCCCATCGAAGGGGAACCAATTAGGAAGGCGGCATCTCTTGGGGCGGAGCGGAAAGGTCCTGATTGGATGGCTTCAGACCTGGGGACGGGGAAGCGAGCGACTGCGGCTGGCCTGGTAACCCGCATGCCCCCGGTAACGGGACAGGGATAACTTGGCAACTTTGTCTGTCCTCAGACTCCTACCTACCGGTTTCTGGGATCGGCCATCTCCGGAGAAAGAAAACTGAGGATTATCGCACGAAGCCCCCTACCTCAGTTTCCTCATCTGCCAAAGGAGGGGAGTGACTGAGCTCCCTCCAAACTCCCTCAACTAGGCCGGCGCGCTGCGGTGCTCAAAGGGTTACACGGTCTGCTCTTCGCTCCCTCTCGCATTTCACTACAACTCCCAGAATGCTCTGCGGGGCGGACGAATTGACGCACTTCCGCTGTGTGGAAGGTTAGGGAAGGCCTTCCCGCTTCCCGCCGCCTCCGCGCCCCCCCCCCATTCTGGGGTTCTGTCTGTGTGATCGGAACCCCGTGTTTCATGGACCCTTCCCATCTATTGCGCCCCAACCTTGTCTGTTAAGGCCAAGAGATGCGGGGAGCACAAGAGCCACATCGCCTTTGCCTAACCTTGAGTGCTTACCACCGTGGGCCCAGCCAGGCTTTGCGGGGGGTGCGGGAGGGGAGGGCTGGGGGAGACCCTCAGTTTTCTTCTGCCTGGAGTCAGGAAGGGTTCGAGTTAGGTTTAGGGTAGGGCGATGCGGGTTTCCAGGTTCCAAACCCTATCAAGCTCCTTCCTGCTGCAACTGGGCCCGTGTTACTGTTGCGCTCTCAAAACATATTCGGGGTGTTTTGTATCCAATCCTGGTTTTATTCTTAGGCTGTCTACACACACACACACACACCCCTTTTCCCACCAACCACCTCAGCCCCGATTTTCCGCTATCCAAACTTGTTTCAAGCCTGTATTTTGTGTGTGTGTGTGTAGTTGCCTATTTTTGCCCCATCCTGGGGAGTATTATGTTTTCAATCTCGAACAATTTTAGGGGATGTTGGGAATGGAATCCAGACCCAACCTGCATGTACAAGACTTCTCTACCAATGAACCACACACCTTGTCTTTTATTCCCCCCTTTGGTATGTCTTGAGACAGGATCTTATTATAGAGTTTAGGCTGGCTTAAACTCTCGATCCTCTTATAACCTTCAGGATGCTGGGATTACAAATGTGTATCACCAGTCCCAGCTACTTTAAAAATAAAAACAAAACCACACACAGGCATAACTGTTATCCTAGCTACTCAGGAGGCTGAGATCTGAGGATCCTGGACAGCAAAGTCTGTGGATTTATTTCCAATTAACCACCAAAAAGCCAGACATAGAGCTATGGCTCAGTGGGTAGAACACTAACCTAGGGTGAAAAAGTTAAAAGGACAGAGCCCAGGCCCTCAGTTCAAGCCAGAATTGAAAGCCTAATACAGGAGGAAAGAGAGAGAGAGAGAGAAGCACTCCATTGCTCTATCTCTGAAAAGTTCCTTCTTATACTGTAGCAAATATCAGTACTAAAAATTCTGAAGCTGGGCACCAGTGGCTCACACCTATAATCCTAGCTACATAGGAAGCTGAGATCAGAGGATCTTGGATCAAAGCCAGCTCAGGCAGAAAAGTCCTTGACTCTTATCTCCCATAAACCACTTGAAAACTGGAACCAGCCCTGTGGCTCAAGTGGTAGAGTGCTAGCCTTGAGGACAAAGAAGCTCAGGGACAGTGCCCAGGCTGAATTCAAGCCCTACAACCCACAAAAAAAAAAAAAAGGAGCTAAGCCAGGTGCTGGTAGCTCACACCTGCAATCCCAGCTACACAGGAGGCTGAAATCTGAGGATTGTAGTTCAAAGTCAGCCTAGACAGAAAAGTCCTTTGTGAGACTCTTATCTCCAATGAACCACTCAAAAACTGGAAATGGTGCTGTGGCTCAAGTGGTAGAGTGCGATCCTTGAGCACATAAAGGCTCAGGGAACAGTGCTTAGACCTTGAGTTCAAGCTCCAGGGCTGGGAAAAAAAAAATTCTGGCAAGAGTCAAGCTTGATGTCAAACTGTCTGACCTATCACCAGCTATGGCCTTGGCCAGGTCTCCAGACTTTTTTTTCAGGGTTTGAACTCACGGTCTACACATGTTAAGCAGGCCCTCTAACACTTAAACTACACCTCCATCCCTTTTGCTTTTATTATTCAGAAATCTTATATTTTTGCCCAGCTAGCTTGAATCTTCTCAATCCTCTCCTAATTCCTCCCCTGGGTAAGCTGGAATGACAGGCTCAAGACACAGCTCCTAAATTAACAATGACATCTTTTTTTGGGGGGGGTCTGGTTGTGGGGCCTGAACTCTGGGCCTGGGCACTGTCCCTCAGCTCTTCAGCTCAAGGCTAGCGCTCTACCACTTGAGCCACAGCGCCACTTCCGGCTTTTTTTCTTTTTGCTTATGTGGTGCTGAGGAATCGAACCCAGGGCCTCAGGCATGCAAGGCAAGCACTCTACCACTGAGCTACCTTCCCAGCCCTAACAATGACATCTTACTAGTGTTTTGCCCAGTCTAGCTTTGAACTCAGTCCTTCAGAGTAGCTAGGATCACAGGAGCAAGCCACTGTGCTCAGCCAAGTCTCTAAACTTTTAAGTCTGGAACTGGAGATGTGGCTCAAGTGGGAGCGTGCTGGCTATGAGGGAAAAGGCTAAGGAGGGCTGGGAAGGTGGCTCAGTGGTAGAGTGCTTGCCTTGCATGCATGAGGCCCTGGGTTTGATTCTTCAGCACCACGTAAACAGAAAAAAACCAGAAGTGGTGCTGCAGCTCAAATGGTAGAGCGCTAACCTTGAGCTGAAGAGCTGAGAGACAGTGCCCAGGCCCAGTGTTCAAGCCCCATGACAAAAAGGAAAAAAAAAAAAAAGGAAAAAGTTAAGGTATTGTGTGAAGCATTTAGTTCAATCCCAAGTACCAGTATGCATTTCCAATGTTGTTCTTGTTGCTGGGACTTCAGCTTGTTAGGTGTTTTGGATTGAAATTCAAATGTGCATGTAATAGCACGTGGCTTGTTGCTATAGAAGTACCGTAGACTGGGGTGTAGCTGAGGTCCAATGTTTGCTTAATAAGCCTGGGTTCAACACGCTCCTTTACCTCCCATTTGCCAGTCCTGGGGATTGAACTCTGGGCCTGGGCACTGTCCCTGAGCTAATCCTTAGCTCAAGGGGAACACTCTACCACTTGAACCTCACAGTCACTTCCAGCTTTTTTGAGAAGCTTATTGGAGAGGAGTCTCACAGACTTTCCTGCCTGGGCTGGCTTTGAACTGCAACCCATCTCAGCCTCCTGAATAGCTAGGATTACAGCCATGAGCCACTGGCACCCAGCTTCATGGAATTTTTTCTAGTTCTCAGGCTTGAACTCTGGGCCTGGGCATTGTCCCTGAGCTGTTTTTGCTCAAGGCTAGCACTCTACCACTTGGGCCACAGTGCCACTTCCAGCTTTTTCTGCATACGTGGTACTGAGGAATGGAACCAAGGCTTCAGGCATGCTAAGCAAGTACTCTACCACTGAGCCACCTTCCCAGGCGAGTTGAAATTTTAAACGATGCATTACTTAAAATAATCAGCCCTTCTTGCTAGGCAGTGCTAGGAATCCAGCAGAGACTTTGCTGTACCAAAGTTCTGTTGATGGAGGCCGATATTAAATAAAACGTGTGTACCTAAAACCTTTTGTTGTGGTTGGTGGTGGTAGGTTGTGGGACTTGAACTCTGGGCCTGGGTGCTCTTCAGCTCAAGGCTAGATCTCTACCACTTGAACGACAGCACCACTTCTGTCTTTCTTTTTTTTTTTTTCTGGTGGTTAATTGGAGGTAACTGTCTTATGGACTTTCCTGGCCAGGGTGGCTTTGAACCGTGATCCTTGGATCTCAGCCTCCTGAGTAGCTAGGATTACAACGTGACCCACTGGTGCCCAGCCGTAAAACCTTTCTTAAGTAGGCATTTGTTGAGGAACAAGTATTTGAACGATAAAGCAACCCAATTATAAAGACCAAAAATTATTAGACATTTTGTGTCCTTACTGGGGTTTAAACTCGGGGCTTGAAAGCTACCCCCTAACTTTTTTCCTGTAGGCTGCTACTCTACCACTTGAACCACAGCTCCACTTCCTGCTTTTTGGACTTTCCTGCCTAGGATTTTTTTTTTTTTTGGTCAGTCATGGGGCTTGAACTCCACCTGGGTGTTGTCCCTCAGCTCTTCAGCTCAAGGTTAGTGCTCTACCGCTTGAGCCACAGCACCACTTTC